AACACTGAATACAAGAAGGAAACTCCAGACACACTGGACCCCAAGGTCAGAGATAACCTAGGGTACCCCTATTCTTGGCCGCCGTAGAAGAGTCGAGTAGGGTAGGCTGCCTGATGTGTTGCTTGATCCTATGACCTCACATTAAGGGACTGGGCTAAGTTGTTGTCAGGTGCCATTAATTTTGACTAAGGATAACTTCATGTGTGAGAGTAAAATTGCACCCTTGGGTTTCCAGGATGTCATTGTTGAAGAAGTAGATTGATATGTATGGTGGTTACACAATCTGTTGTCGATTTGAGACTTACAAGTGAAGGTGTACAGTTTAGCCTCTGCCAATCAGGTCGCAGCTTGATGACCTCATTTGGAGGCATTAAGGAGATAAATAACTTACTGGAGGCCAGACACGAGCTGACTCTCTGGGAGACATTTCTAGCGAGAAGCCACATGAAGCTAACCTGATGCAGCCAGAGCCCTGAGAGCTGGAGGAACCATGTGGAGACTCCTGGCAGGGCTGAGATGCTTACAACACCACTGGATCCACAAGACTTCCCACCCACTGTCCCGTGATCTTCCCGCATTTGGCGTCATTGCATGTGTTTCGTGAGTCTGAAGAGGAATTTATAGATTAGTATCGGACATATGGGCAAATATCTGGCTGATGGACTTGATCTGGGCTGGGCTGGGATGTTTTCTCAATATTCAATTGTTCTTGTATATAAAGCTCTTTCTTATACACATGAGGATCTATGAATTTGTTTCTCTAGTCTACTCCAACTAACACAACATATACTTTCTCTTATGGAGTCCATGGGTAGAGTGGAATGGCCAGCCTTTGGGTAACAGCCAAGCACTTCACTGCTGTGCCACCAGGACTCCTTGACAAGGGGATGAATCCAAAAATGTGAGCCACAATCACAACACAGCTCTTTTGTTGGCCTTATACATCTATCATTTTAAGAAGTGCTACACAATCAGTATTTCTATTAGACATAAATAAGGCCAATGTTATAAATCTCAATTAATAAGTATATCAACCGAGCCTCAGAGGGGCATCAAAGGGTTTGGAGGAAAGTGGAAATCCCACTTTCCACCAACTTTCTGAAACCTTGTCATATATCATTTGAGTAAGGACAGAACGTAGGTAACAAGGTCAGCAACAAACTGCAGATTTCTGAATACCTGATCAAACTCTCTTTTCCATTTTTATGTTACTTCACCACAAAGTGGCAACAAAATAAAAATCGATGCCTGTAGGGCACCAAATGGTCAATTTGTAACAAGGGTAAATTATACAAGGCGGTATGGAAACTGGACCAATGGAGATGAAACCACAACAGAATGACGAGAATCTCCACACATTGTGAAGAATAACCAAGGCCACAGAAAACCTTGTCTAGAAATTGTTGCATGGGAACAGAAATTGCAGAATGGTTAGCCTGACTGAAGGCACACCTATTTTTTAAATGTATTTTAAAAATTCACTCTTTATGATTAGTATAGAAATTCTTCAAAAGGCCACATGGGAAGTGTATTTCCCAAATTTTATCTATTTCCCTTTAAATGGTTTGTTATTTCCTTCTTCCCAAGGGAAGTAGAAATTTTTCAAATGAAGCAGCCTGAGCACAGTGTCTGGCTTAAGTCTGATTTTCATTTCTAGTGATTACAAATGTACGAGCTAATTTTCAATCTAGATTTTAAAGTGTACGGAATGGGCTACGTCTGGTTATTTGTTCTGTTGCATTCTAAAAATGAAGAGAGGTGGGAGGAAGCTCGAAGACAGACTGTACAAACCTTTTTATGGCTACTTGATACACTCCGAGGCTAATCACAACAGTAATAGTCCAGATGATGTCACTGTTTTCAGCTCCCTGAAAACCCCTCCCCTGGAAAGGAAGAGAGACTTGCCATACCACTGTATCTGGGACACATATGTGGGGGCATGTATAGGTTCTGCATCTCCTCTGCTTTGAAAGGTCTTTCAACCTCCTTATCATCATTGTCAAGGAAATGGAATGATAACAATAATTAGGGTGAACACCATGGCATAGTGAGTTAGGTGCCAATGCAAGGTTGGCAGTTCAAAGCCGGGGAGGAGAAAGATGAGGATTTCTTCTCCCACAAAGATTTACAGTCTTGGAAATCCCAAGGGAAAGTTCTACTCTGTCCTATGGGGTTGCGTTAAGCAGAATTGACTTGATGTCTTTAGTGGATTTTTGAAGTGCAATGAAGGTTACCATTTCCATAGGAATTCTGCTTTTTCACTCAGAGGGACTCTTAGAGAGTCAGTGGACCTAGTCTTTTACACACTGTACTTTAGTATCAATAATGAATGGTAGAAGCAGAAGTTATTTCCTTGACCATTCCTTCCTTACATCCTTGCTGAGAGGACGTGGAGAGCATCTGTTTGTTGCAGGCATATAATCACAGATACTAACTATGCCAAAAGGAGGGGAAAGAGGCAGCTCTGAAAGCACTACGTTACCTGAAGCAAGTAGGTTCAATGAGGACAATAAATGTAGGAAATTATTTTTCAAATCCTCAAAGATGTTTCAAAGGACCTTATGAGAGAAGCCAAACAATATTCTCTACTTGAAAATTGCACATGTCAAAAAGACATCTTCACACAGACTTATTCAGATCTTCAAAGCAAAGGGTTTCTAATAAAGTTTAGAATATGTATCATTTATGTGGCCACATATGAGGGGGCTTCAAAAAGCTCATGGAAAAATATCATTATCTTTTCATTTTCCATGAACTTTTTAAAGCCCCCTTTTCTTTATGACTCTGTATATCTATATTTATAAATAAATGTGTCTCTGTGGAATATCATTGTTAATATTCTCATCCTATTAGTGTTATTTCCTGCAGGTCACAGATACTGTACATGGATTCTGGATTGATCTCACTGAGCTCATTCACTGCCATCAGTTGATGCCAATTGACAGGGTAAAACTTCCCCTGTGAATTTTGGAGACTGTAACTCTTTTTTTTTTTAATCATTACATTGGGGGCTCTTACAACTCTTGTTACAATCCATACATCAATTGTATCTGACATATTAATACATATATTTCACCATTCTTTTCTACACATTTACTTTCCAATGAGCCCTTGGGATCAGCTCCTCTTTTTGTCCCTCCCTCCTCAACCCGCGTGGCTCCTTGATAGTTTGTAGATTGTTCATTCTTTTCACATCTCACTCTGACAGCTGTCTTCCTTCCCCTCTGGTTTCTGTTGTCCTTCCCCCTGGATGGGGGGGTATGATTATGTGCCATTCATTGCAATCGGTGGCGCCCTTCCTCCCCACCTTTGCCCCTCTCTCCCCACCTCTCCCCCACTTCCCCTACCGTTTTTGGTATCTCTTTTTCCATTCCTGTTCCTGGGTTCCATGTGTGGTGAGTTTTATCTCTTGCCTGTACGTATGTACATGTTACATGCTCCCGTCTAGTCTAGACAGGAAAGCGAGATTGGGGTCATGATAGTGTGTGTGTGTGTGTGTGTGTGTGTGTGTGTGTGTGTGTGTAGGCCTCAAGGGATCAGAGGTAGATTGTGTGACCCATTTGTGCTCTACTGCACCCTGATTGACTCATCCCTCCCTGCAACCCTTCTGTGGGGGGGATGTTCCATTGTCCATAGATGGGCTTTAGCCTCTGCTCCAATCCCCCTCCATTCTCACCAATGCATTTTTGTTTGTTTATTTACTGTTTGTTGTGAGTCTTTTGATGCCCATTGCCCGGTCTCGATGACACCTTATGATCGCACCGGCGGGTATTCTTCTTCCATGTGGGCTTCTTACTTCATTGCTAGATGGCCACTTGTTTAACTTCAAGCCTTTAAGACCCCAGACACAATTGTCTTTTAATAGCCAGGCACCATCCTCTGTCTTCACCACATCTGCTTACACACCCGTTTTGTCTTCAGCGATTGTGTGTGGGGGTTGAGGGTGGTGGTGGTGAGCATCACAGAATGCCAATTTGTTAGAACAAAGTATTCTTTTATTGAGGGAAGGTATGAGCCAAGGCCCAAGGCCCTTCTGCAGCCTCAGTCTATTGCCTTATAAATATATGTACATAGCACAATACCACTATTGTTATGGATTAATGTATTTGCATAAGTGCACACCTCTATTAATCTCTTATCTATGCCTTTGCTTCCTAGAGCTTGCCTCTGTTTCCTTTTGCCTCCTCCTGCCCCACCATCATGTCCTCCTTCTTCCACCTCTTAGAGCTTCCTCTCCACTAGCTTGGTGTTGCTCTAATACTCACAGGATCTCTACCCTCTCCTAGAGGCTGGTTCCACTTCCCTACTTGTTCCCCTGTCTGTGACCCTGTCCGTTCACCACACCCTTCTCCCCACCTCCTCCTTCCCCCTCCACCTTCTGGGGCCATTGGCCCCATTGCCTTCTCCCTGAGCTTCCCTCCCATGCCCAATCCATATAAGTAGGCAAACCATCAATGTCCTAATCCAAACAATAAAAAAACCATATGGTTGAAGAAAGAAAGGGAAAGAGAAAAGGACAAGAGAAAAAAAAAGAAAAAGAAAAAACCCTACATAGGTCCGGGTCTGTTTGCTGGCCCCCATGAGACCCTCCCCCCTTGTCCTGAGGGAGATCCAGGGTTGCCCCTCCTCACCCGAAGTCCATTCTTGAGGCTCCTCAGGGGCTCTTTACTCCAATTGCTGATCTGTTATACTCCATTCCCACACTGTCTCCCCGCCATGTGTCCCCATTATGGAGACTAACTCTTTACAGAACTAGAACCGCCATGTTTTCCTGAGGAGTGGCTGTTGGTTTCGAACTGCTAACCTTTTGGATCACACACAGTCTAATTTGTAACTACTACACCACCACCAGGGCTCCCTTATCTGTCTATACTCAAATATGTTGCCCTGGAAAGAACAGAAATTATTTTACTCTAAGCACAAGAATCAGTGTCTGTATATGCGGAATATGTCTTCCATCTAATGTTTGTTTTCAATAGGTAATGTTGAAATTTTCTTACCATCCAAGCTGTGACAAAGTCTCCCATCCAGGTCCCTACTGCTGCTAATTTCATGAAACTTTCATTTCGGATGCCCATGTAGTCTGTAATGATATATGCTCTGTGGAAACAAACACATGGGACATTGTCAGGACAAAGAAAGCCATGTAGTCAAAGCATTGTGATTCTGCAATACAATGGGACTTTCGCCCTTCTCAACACGCTCTGTATCGCTTTTGTCTCTTCACACGTGCTTACTAACCTGAAAGGCTGAGCAGAGCATGGAGGGTGTTAGGTCAGTTCCAATTAGACTTGAAGATTGGCTATGGCCACACCAATTACCATTTGCTTTTCGTTTCTGAGCTGTGAGACTGACAACCGCTTTTGGAAAATCAAACAGAGATATTCAGCAAAGACTTCATTTCATGCTCACTCAAGTATGAGCAGAGCGGAAACATTTCCTGAATTAGAGCAACTTGAAAAGGAAGAGGAGTGCCAACTGTCCTTCAGCTCTGTCAGGTCGAAACTATTGAAAAGGTACCGGAGCCAGTCCTTTGAGAGACAAGATTGCACTTGACTGCTGCTCAGCACGATGTCAGGAGCTGAGAAGAGCATTGCCACACAGAAGAGCAGAGTGAAACTTGATTCACATACAAAACCCAAACGAAACGCACTGCCGCCTCATCGGGCAGACCGGGTAGGGCTGTCTCTGTGGCTTTCTGAGGCTGTCCATTTTCACGGAAGCAGAAAGCTTACTCTTTCTTCTGGGGAGCAACTCGTGGGCTCTAACTGCTAGCATTTCTTGTTGCACAAAGAACAGTAACTGAGCCGTTTACAACTTTACACTGCAAAGTCTTGTTTGCTTGCTGTAACACCACCGTATTTTCTTCACAGCTCACGGGGAGAGTCTTAATGTCAGTGTGGATGTAAAAGTGTCATTAAGTATCAGTAATAAGGCCAGACTTATTGTCTACTAATTATTTTCATTTTCCCATTTGACATCCCATCTGCAATTTTTCTGAAAAAAATGAACCTCAGATGATCTACCTTGCCCAGCTCAAATGCTTAGAAATCACATCTCTCTCTCTCTCCCTCTCCTCTCTTCCTTTCTTTTCTCTCTCTCATCCACACACACACTCTGACTCTCATTCATTTACCTTTAGTATTTTTATACATATGATGACTATGCAGTTTAGAGTATATAGCTGTATTCTTCCTAGATTAACTTTTAAAAATGTATAATAGATGATGATCTTTGGTTACTCATCTACTAAAACTGTGAAGAAATCATTGAGACATAAACCAGCTCCTATTGGGGGTTATAAAAATCAATACTCCTTGATTATTAAACTTAAACTTAAGAACTATTTAAACAATTCTTTCTCTGCTTGATCATTCAGTTATTTGGGCCTTTTATGTAAATATCTTCATGGTCTTAACCCATAATGCTAGGTCTCTAGTTTCATGGACTTCCACAATAGCCCCAAAGTGTATGGCTACCATGTGTTTCCTGCCAAGAACCATTCGTTATGCTTGAAGAATCACTATCAACCCTGAAATATCTCTATTGCACTTGAAGAATCTCTATCAACACTTAAGTATCTCTATCCACCCTCTTATCAACAGAGTAAAATATATTATTATTCTTATTTCACAATTATAGAAGTGTAGTTTTTCAAGAGCTTACTTCATGAGCATTTGGTAAGAGGATAGGATTCGAATCTGATTCAAACACAGGCATTTCAACACTGCTCTTTACCTTCTTCCTGTTGTTGTTAGGTGCCAACTCACAACAAACCTGCATGAGACAGAAGGAAACACTGGCTGGTCCTGCGCCAACCTCTCACTTGTTAGCTGAAGCCAGTGGTTGCAGCCACTGTGTCCATCCAGCTTGCCCAGGCGCTTCCTAGTTTTTGCTTTCCTTCTGTTAGAAAGCATGATTTCCTTCCCCAGGAATTGGTCTCTCCTGATAACATGTCCAATCCTTGCCTCTAAGGGGTATTCTGGCAGTACTTCTTATAATTACAGATTTGTTTGTTCTTTTAGCAGTTCCTGGTACTTTAAATATTCTTTGTTGGCATCATAATCCAAACACATCGATTCTTTCTCAGTTATCCTTACTCAGTGCCCAACTTTCATATGCATATGGCACTACTGAAAATACAATCGCTTGGTCAGGTGCCCCTTTGTCTGCAACGTAACACGTTTGCTTTTCAATACTTTGAAGAGCTTTTGTGCAGCAGATCTACCCAATGCAATGCTTCATTTGAATTCTTGACTGCTGCTTCCATAAGCATTGATTGTAGACCCAAGAAAGACAAAACTCTTGACAGCTTCGATCTTGTGTCCCTTGATCATGATGTTACCTATTGGTCCAGTTCTGAGGATTGTGGTCTTCTTTACATTGAGTTGTAATTCAGAGTGAAGGCTGAAATTCTTACTCTTCATCAGCAAGCACTTCAAAGTCCTCACTTTCAGCAAGCAAGGTTGTATCATCTGCATCTCACAGATTGTTAATAAGCCTTCCTCCAATTTTAACATCACATTCTTCTTCATAAAATCCAACTTCCCTGATTAATTTCTTACCATACAGATTAAGTAAATATGGTTTGAGAATATACAATCTCTACATTTCCTTTCAATATTTTACTAGACAATTAATAAGCCCAAACCAAACCCACTCTATCAAGTGAATTCTAACTTAAATGTACCCTATATAGGGTTTCCAAGACTGTAAAATTTTATGGGAGCAGACACGGCCTCATATTCTCCCCAGTGTGGCTGGTGGGTTTGAAACACAAAGGCTTATATTCTAGAACAACTAATAAGTCAATAGTAGCATGCAGAATGCGCAGTTTCCTAGAGCTACCCTCTAGGGTTGAACTAGCATTCATATACACAGTTCATCTACCTAAGCAGCTGCCTACTTAAAAGTCAACAGGCAGCTAGCCACTATCAGTACAACTGTTCATTGCAGCACTATCACTAAATAACTCCTGGAACAATATCTTTTTTGAAGAAGTTGCTCAATTCCAGAGTTCTATGTGGTCACTGTTTCAATTACTTATAAAACGCATGAGGGTCGAGTGGAAATTTCAGATACATGCCACATGATTGCACACATGTATATAAAGGAAAGCATCAGACTTTTATTCCAGCATTTAAAAATGGATATGGGATATATAAGCTTGAAACACATCAGGGATTCCATCCAGAGAAAGTACAAGAGCTGTGGTAAACATACAATTTCCACCCCAAAAAAATGTTTTAAAGGCATCAGACTGCTGATGAAGGAGTCAAGGTGAGAGAAGCCAAGACACTAAATAGAAGAGCTTTATAGAAAGTTTCACTGCTATTTCTCTGGAGATATTGCCCAAGACCAGAGGATAAGAATCTTATTTTGGGCTGAGCAGAAGTCAGTCTTAGTGGGCTGGAGAGACAACATTGGCAACTCCAAGGAAGCAATGTGCTGGTGAGAAAGGAGGTACCCAGAAGACAGCATGACACTCAGTTAGTTTTTCCTCCAAAGTATTTACCAAACTCTAACCTTGAGCAACAGGGAAGCTGCAGGACTAACCCTAAACCTCTGACACTCACAGTGAAGGGCTGACAGCTTCAATGTGATGAGAAGGCGTTTAGAGTGTAGAACTTGCCCAGTGTGGCACAGAAGAGGACATGGACTCTTCCCTAAGATTAAACAAACCAGCCATGGATAGCTCCTTAATGAAACTAAAATTAGCCTTTACCCAGGCCATGCCATGACTGTCTCAAGGTAATCAGCTTTCACTTGCCTCCCTTAACAAAGAAAAGGGTGAACCTTTTCTGGAAGAATATAATCATCATCTGGAATGATGGTAATTGGAATATACATATATATAGGATGATAAATGGAGTATATATATATATAGGCATCACATTCTACATTCATTTGTAAATAACTAGATTATCAAGAAACAGGGTCATTTCACTGAAAAATCAACAGAAAGCACAGTAGCTAACACTCAAGAATGAGTTGCACAAAAGGAAGGAGTTGTTTTGGCGAATTTTTTCACTGTTGAATGCTTGGCACCTAGAACTCTTCCTGTCTATGATAAGTGACGAGAAAACATGTATTTCATCTAAGAATAACTAACCTGGTGCAAGTTAAGTTTATTCATTCTAATGTAGCATAGGTTAGACCAATGTATATACAATTCTAGAAACAGCAATCAAATGAGGTTGAATTACTAACAATGCTGCCACAGAGGAAAAGAAGAAAATATTTTAAATTACGTTTGCTTTATTTCTCCAGCTACATGCAATCCTTTGTCAAAAGAACAAAAATAAAAACAAAACTCACTGTCAATGGATCAAGTCAGACTGGTAGTGACGGCAGTACAGCTGTCCTTTATGTACCAATAATCTATGTCAGTATGAAAATTTTTAAATAGCAAGTCTCCCCCGTGGCTGTAGACAACAATGAGCATTAGGTGTCATGATGCAGTGCAGATAAGACATGCAACTAACTTATGAAATGACTGGTTATATTTACAAGAAACTTCCCAAGTGAAGAGTAGTATAGAATGGTTAGTAGTCTTGCTGTTCCTACTTTGGACTAGAAGTGGAAAAATTACAATTATGCAGAAATCTCATAAGGCCTTTCCATCACTAGTTGATTAATTTGCATTTACATTAATATTTCAATGTGTCCTCCTCATGTTGTAAAGGACAAACTATGCATATATTCTTATCAGCAACTTTAGCCAGCTGAAATATTATATTAGACCCTATAAAAAGTGAAAAAATGGATCTCTGTACCCAGTGGTTTTGAGGGAGCTTCAGAATGAAGGATTATTTGCCAGGAGGCATCATTAAAGTTTCAGTTTTATTTATTTCAACGATCCATAGATAATTTTTTCGATTTGTGATAATTTCATGTGACTCCCACTACACATACATTTCAACCACTCTTTTAGGTCAATATCAACCATATATATAATCTTTGCCTTTAAGGATCCTAAATGAATTTTTTTCTGTAATGCAGCTTGGTTTTCATATTTTCTTTATATATCAAAGTTAACCATCAAATCCATACCAGCTATCTGGAAAATCCAATGTAAAGGATCTGGAAAAGGTTCGTGA